AACAACAACAACAAAAAACTAATAAATGCAGTCTTAGAGTTTGATTAACTTCTCTTCCAGTAGGTGGAGCTGTGCCCACCAGGCCAAGCTTCTCCTGTCAATACGCAGGAACCAATCACTGTGCAGCACTTCCTCCTCCCAGACTGGGCGAGTCTACAATCCTGAGTGCCTAGGGCCTCCTCTTGTGTCTAGTCACTTCCCCAGTTTTCCTCTAGCCAGGCCCCTCTCACCAGTGACGCTCACCACAATACTGGCTACACGCCAGGTCTGCTGCTCCCGGGAGCCCTGTTTTTATGAAAGACTGGGCTCACTCTCCCTGTTTGCCATTCCCTCGGACCCTAAGTTTGTAGAGCTTAGGGCTGAGAATCCTCAGTTCATTTTACTTGCCCTCTGGTAGCCACGCCCCCGGTAGCTGGTGCAAGAGACCTCAGTTGTCAGCACTGGTGGGAGCGGTAGCTGGGAGTTCCGCGCTGCGGGTTCCGCCCGCGCCACTTCTGATTCCCTCTGTCTGGCTATCGTGCTCACGGGAGAGCTGGGAGGGGCCCTTAAGGTTTCCCCGATGTGTGGAGAGGGAAGGCTAGGGGGTTACACACCTGTAGCCGCAGGATTCAATGAAGTTATCTCCTCCGCCGCAGTCTGGTGACGTCAGTTCTCTGCCATGGTGGTATCTCTTGCAAATGGCAACAGTTCGTTTCCCTTTGCCGGGTGACCAATGCAACGGGTGGGTCCTTACTGTCTCTCCCACGTCCCGTTTCAAACCTGTGGCCACTACCTATGAAGGCTCCTTTGGCATTTACCTCCGTAGGATCAGAAGGGCTGACCAGTTGTTTCAGCTGGATGGATTAGTGCTGAGTCACAGCTGTTTGTCTGCGGGAAGCAAGCGAACAGGAGCTTGAATTCAGCCCATCCGGGCTCAGTGTGTGTTCTGAGAGGCCCAGACTGTTCGCCCCAGATCCACATCAGCTCAGCATTGCCTAGTGATCCTGAGCAAACAGAATTTAGACTGTTTACGACTCCCTATGCCCGCACAGCTGAAGAGGTCAGAGACTTGATCTCTCCGCACCCGCCGCCATGTTGGATCCCCCAAGAATATATATTTTTATGTATCAACTTTTATTCAATCTGAAATTTTTGGATTCTGTTGTTATATCAATGTTCAAACAGAGTAAGTCTCATTTATGAAGATAACAAAAAGAGCTTATAAATTCTATGCTGTTTAATTCGAATTCAAGTAGAATTTTAGTAAACACAAGCTTTAAAACTTTTCTAGCCTCAAAAAGATACCATTTGTATCTTTAATTTAAATTAATTTAAAAGTGTTTTTTTGTTCATTTTAGTACTAATTAATTTTCTTGAAGAATCTATTACTGTATAATTTTCTGTTTGTTTTATTCTTTTCAACTGTAAATGTAATTAGGATGCATTTAACATTCTTTATAAAGCTATATTATTTAGTTTGAGTTTTTGTAACTTACTAGAAAGCATTCATAAGGACTTTTAAGGAAAATGTTAAAAACATTACCTCCTTAGTTATCATTTTTATGTTGCATATTATATCCGCATTTTATAGAAGATAAGGTAAAATTTCTGCATAGAATCCATTGTTTATATTGTCTTGTTAATGTTTGTGAGGCACAGGTGTTATGCATTTAAAAAAACTTGGAAAATGACCATTTGGAGTTTGCTGGGATTCAGATTTTTAAAATAAATTCCTGTCTTTTTAGCTATTAAGCTAGCTCTCGTTATGTAGATATTTGTAATACTTTTACTATTTTTCTTTAGCTTGCCAGTGTAATGGACACAGCACTTGCATCAATAACAATGTGTGTGAACACTGTAAAAATCTCACCACAGGAAAACAGTGTCAAGACTGCATGCCGGGTTATTATGGAGATCCAACCAATGGAGGACAGTGCACAGGTACATATTTTTCATGTATTTTTACGAATGAAAAGAAAATTGAGAAAGAGTTGCCCCTTGTGGTGATTGTATGTATCACTAAAGAATAATTCTTTACTCAGTTTCAGTATTTCTGGAGGGTAATATAGATTTGTCATGGACTTTGGGATCTATAAAAATTCTGTGATAAGCTTGCTTTAAAGATAATTTTTACTTCAAAATATGAATTCATATTCATTATAGGGAATTTATCAAATGTAGATAAATAAAATTACCTGTAATCTCAGTATTCAAAAACTATCATTGCTGATGTGTTTGTTTTAATAGTAGATTATTGTCTTGACTTTTGAAATAAAAATCAATTAAAGGTTATAGGTATATGCCTCATATCAGGTAAGACTTATTTTTGGACAGGGTGATAGTATAGCATAGCATAACATTTAAGGGGAAGGGTTTGGAATCAATCCTGGACTGAAATTCAAGTCTCTCACTGTTTCAGTGTTTGACCTTGAATAATTAACCTCTCAGTGCTGCATTCCCCTCACATGTAAAAGGGATATGATGATAATTCACTAGGTTGTCATAAAGCTCAAATGAGACCATATGGAATACAGATCTTGGGAATTTTAGCACATGAAAATAACAGTGTAAATATTAGCTAAAATTGTCACTTTTTTTTTTCAGTAAACCCTCATTTCTTCCATTCTCTCCTTCTGTTTCCTGTTTGCTTCTTTTGCTTTCTTTATGGCCTTTCTTTTAAATTTTATTTTAATGTGAAATTTTATTGTAATCTTTTCTCTCTAGATTGGACCTTGCCATTTAAAAAAATTTTTTTTGAACTACTCTAAGTAGAGATTGCATATAGTGTCTAGAGAAAAGACCTCAGTTGTTGGCAGTGAAAAGCAATCTTTAGGAGGGACTACAGCCTGGTCTAGACAAGTTTATAACACTATCTTTAAAAATATGGATGTCTGGACCACTCCCTAAAACTATTAAATCAGTATTTGTATTGAGGTTATAGGGTGAATCTTGGGCCTTGGTTCTTTTTCAAAGTTTCCCAAGTGACTGTTGCTTGCACTCTGGGTTGAGACACCCTAGTGGGTGATGAACTGACTTAGCTTTTGAGTTAATAAAATTGCTCAGATTTGGTGGAGGGGAGTTTTGTGACATGGAATACTCTGGCCTTTCTGAAGCACTGATATTGCATTGGCTGACATTAGCATTTTCTATGTTCTAGGCACTGTACTAATGACTTTATATTGGCTACATCATATTAGCTTTACAAGAAATTGTATGGCTAGTGTTATTTTATCCCTGTTTTACATAAGAACACAAGTGCACAAATAAGTAACATGTCTGATTCTTAGGCCTTGCTATCACCTCAATGTAGTTGCTACATTAATGGGTACAGGGAAGGTCCAGAAGCTCTTAGACAAAAGCCATAGGTTAGTGCTGTGTCCAGTGGATACACAAGGTACAGTCATTGTGGGCACGGTGGAATCCATGAGATTTAGTCATGATCTACTGCAGTCATAGTATTTTGTTATTTATGTGTATCAACTTAAAAGTCCAAGGATTTGGATATATCCTTTTTTCTGCTACTGAAATTTCTGTAGCTAAGAATTTTTACTAGAAGATAAACCATCAGATAGATGGTTTATATATAGTAATATATTATTTTCACCATTTTAATAAAAATATAATTTGAGATGTCTTAATTCACATTATAATTTATATCTATAGATTCTCATGTATTTAATAAATAGTTGTGTATGTTTTACTTTTATAAAAATGATTTCATATATACTTTCCAAG